AGGAAGGGAAAAATGAAGGGGGGGAAATTGGAGGGGGAGACGAACATGAGAGACTATGGACTCTGAGAAACAAACAGGGTTTTAGAGGGTAGGGGTGTGGGGGGATGGGTTAGCCTGGTGATGGGTATTAAGTAGGGCACATATTGAATGGAGCATTGGGTGTTATACGCAAACAATGAATCATGGAACACTGCATGAAAAGCTAATGATGTAATGTATGGTGATTTACATAACATAATAAAATAAAAATAAAAAAAGAGTCACTATGGTTTGTCCCCATTTTTATCTTATTTTATTTTTCCTTCCCTTCCCCTATGTTCATCTGTTTTATTTCTTAAATTACACATATGAGTGAAATCATATGGTATTTTTTTTCTCTGACTTATTATGCTTAGCATAATACCCTCTAGCTCCATCCATGTTGTTACCATTACTGCTGACTCTTGCCTTCTCCCCATCCTTCCTCAAGACAAGATGGCTAGATTTGATTATGACAAGAAGGTGATTTGGTTAAATTACCTACCTTAGGCTCAGTTTGATCAATCCCTGTAAGGAAGAGCAGGTGGGCCAGGAAGAGGCAGATGGAGAGCTGCAGGTGGAGGGAGGTGCTGGTGTTCTGGATGGGTCGGCACAGGACGAAGGTGAGGGCTGCCAGGAGGAGGCACAGCAGAGAGAGGCTCAGCCCCACATAGGTGATCATGGTCAACACAGGATCCACCTATGAGCCACCAAATGAAGAATTCATTATAGTTTCCAATTCTGCAGTTATGTTTCTGATGGAGAGTCTGATGGGCTTCCAAGTTCAGTCCCTTAAATTACTGACTTAACCTCTCTGAGATTTGATGTTCTCATCTTCAAAATGGGTGCACTATAGCATTCACCACACAAGGCTATTAAAAACCAAAACCACTAGCCTGGTGCTGTCCAAAAGAAATATGTGAGCCACATGTGGAGTTTAAAATTTTCTAGTAGCTGTATCTTTTAAAATGTGAAAAGAATCAGGTCAAATTAATTTAATAGTATATGTTCAAAATATTATCAGTCCAATGTATTGAATATAATATAATCAATGTAACAAAAATGCAATCAGTTCAAATTACAATCAATGTAAAACAATTATTAGTGAGATATTTGATACTTTTTTCCATATTAAGCCCTTGAAATCCAGGGTGTATTTTATGCTTACAACACATCTGAATTCAGATGCTTTTATTTTCAATGATAAAAGTGAAATCCTACGAATGAAGTGGTATTTAATGGAAAAATATTTCACACTGCTTCTTAGTTTAAATAAATTAAAATTAAATAAAATAAAAAAGTTGGTTCTCAGCCACACTAGCCACGTTTCAAGTGCTCAATAGCCATATGTGGTTGGTGATCCTATTGGACAACATAGCTCTCCAAAGTCATCTCCATGAAGGTTGGAATTTGTTTATCTGTTTTGTTCTCTGCTGTATCCTCAATGCCTAGAACAGCATCTGACATATAGTAGGCAGTCATATGCAAATTTGTTGAATGAATAAAATGAGGCCAATGCACTTAAATGTGTAATATAATGATTGTCATACAGTAAATATTCAGTAATTGAGAGCTTAAAAGAAATAGGGGAAGAAGTTAGGTAAATTTCTTTAAATCTGGCTGATCCTAGATGTGGTTGGGATCTGGGAAGTTCAAGCACCCATACTTTTTCATTGGTGACAGTCAGTTGCCTTCTTTCCCATCTGACCATTTGTAACTGTCTCTTGCAGAGTAATGGATGTTTGATTCCAGATCATCTTAGACCCCGCAACTGTAGGGGCTGACAACCCAACTTTCCAATGTTTGAGAGCTTTCTCTGCTAGCTTGAGCTTACTCTGCCCATGCCCATGGACATGCCAGAATTAATGACCCCCACCCCCATGCAGCTTTCAACCAATGCCTGAGAGGAGGTGGTGTATAGATAGCCTAGCTCTCTTGCAGTTCAGTTAGGATGACTCAGATGCATCTCCTACACTGATTCCCAGAGTACCCTAGAGGGAATTAAATTCCAGATGCCCAAAGTAGTGAGTGGCTTGATAATGCTCTCTGCATTAACTTTTGTTTTTTATTGTTTCATTTCCCAGCCCCTTATTGGTGCTTCCTGGAATTACCTCTCAAGTAAACTACTTCCACTTGACTTCTTATCTCAGTCTTTTTCTAAGACATGGAGAGGACAATCTCACAGTTTGTTGGACACAATCAGATACCAGGAAGGAGCATGAATCTTGGTACCTTGGGAACAAGAGCCATGAGGACAGCAAAGCTGGAAAGGTGGAAGCACTTGCATTTGGTGTGTGAATCGTTGCTGCCCACATGATAGCAGCCCTCTGTCGACCAGGTGCCCCCCTCCTCTGATCCTTTCCAGTAGACACAGAAATGTTTTGTTCTTGCACCAGCAGGCTGAAAAGAAAATAGCATGAAAGTGGGGCTCTTTCTGGTTTTATTATTTTAATTTTATAGGTTAGTCATGGATGCATTGCATTAGAAACTGGAATGGGAAAATCCCATTATCTAGAACACTTGTGGGGAAGAGTTTCATATGAACACACCTTCTGTGGGGTTTATTCTTCCTTTATTCTGCCCTTCTCTGGTCATCTCAGAGCCCCAGGGATTGACCCTTATGAACTGCTTTACCCAGGCTCCTTGTCACTGGGACAATGAATGAGAGGAACTGGTGAGAAGTCCTTAGATGAGAGGAGGAGGAAGTCAGGTGTTTCTTCCAGACACTTCTTCTGCTTCAGAATATCTCCATCTCCAGCAGGGCAACCCTCCTGCATGTCTCCAGCTCTCACTGGGCTCAACAATGCTCATCCCCCTATTGCCTTTTTAGGCTTAAATGTGATAATAGCTTCCCCTGGTGGCAATCTCTGGGTGCCTCAACATTTCTTGTTGGTTCTGTTAACTCTGAATGAGCAGAGTTGGATTCAGTTTCTTGGCAGGACCCGTCATAACACACCTCTTTGAGGTAATGCACAGAGAACCAGCTCTGGATTTTGCTCACCTGAATATGTTGGAAGGTCAGGAACATAGGTTCAGACAGATACACTTTTTTCTTTGTACTAATGGTGCCACTCACGACACGAGAGTTCAGTTTCATTTCCTGTGTCCCTCTTCCATCATTAAAAAAGGATCCATTCAGAATATCCCAAAGAGACTGATAAGTGATAAGCGCAACTGCACTTTTATCTGAGAAAACAGAAATCACTTTAGAGGACATCTGTATTATAGGATATCAGTATGCTAGTGTCTTGTGTGAGAGTCATAAAGCAAATATTATGTATAGTCAAAATCGCCCTTGGAAATCCCTTATGTTGCTACATCAACACATTATGTGTGGTTTGGGGTACAGCATTTTGTACATGTAATACATATTATAGTGTATGACACATTATAAGAGATATGTATGCAAAATATCCATTAATGAATTAAAAAATATATATGAGCCCTTAGACATCAAAATCAGAGCCATGAGGCAAGATGTTTGTCCTCAAAAGAGCAGGTGGAACTGGTAGAATGAGGAAACCACACATTCCCATCTTCCATTTTATTTATTTATTTTTTATTTTATTTTATATTTTCTTTTCTTTTATTATGTTATGTTAGTCAACATACAATATATCATTAGTTTGTTTTTTTTTAATTTTATTATGTTAGTCACCATATAATACATCATTAGTTTTTGATGTAGTGATCCATGATTCATTGTTTTTGTATAACACCCAGTGCTCCATGCAGTACATGCCCTCCTTAATACCCATCACTGGGCTAACCAATCCCCCCTC